AAACAATCTTAACAGTTCGTCACACTTTTTGGCATTGTTTTCCTGTCACTAAAAAATATAATATGAAAATTTACCATTAAAAATGCACCACAAAAGAATAGATTTTTATTTTAAATTAAACTTTGTTGATTCCATCTCTGAAAATCTTAACAAAGTATAACAATAATAATAATTTGCACAGTTTGATGTGATCTGAACTGACTTTCGTTAGATTTAATCACCATTGGTAGCGCGATTTATTGTAAAATGTTTTTTCAGTTGGTCAGAACAAAACTGGCAGACATGTTACTTGTTCAGATGACATTTTCCGGTGAAACTTCTTATTTTGGACATACTACCAAGACGTAGTATCTGTAATTCTGAAGTACAGTGAATATCCACACTGGTGTGTTGACTGACAGCCCACACATACACCTCAAAACATTAGACTCATCAGTGCTGAAGAGCCGTGCCAATACACAACCCATGTAAAGATGATAATTCCACAAATAACTGCAATTGCAGGTTTCAAACAGAGACGGTGACAAAGAGGCAAAACTTACGGACTGCAGCTTTAAAGCCACAATTGCAGGTTACCAATTTTTGCAGTAGGTCATTAGCTTTAAACATTTCTTTAAAACTGGACAAAAGCTTAATGCATAAATTATAAATAAGACATCACTATGAATACATATGTTTTTTCTCTCTGATAGAGAGATGATAAAAAAGGGATCAAAGAACAGCAGATTGCGCACCAGTGGGCCGAGTGGAGAGGATCCATATACAGGAGGATGAATGGCATCATGCAGGAACAGGACATGCTGTGCCAACCTGCCTGTTAGTGCTGTTCATACCTATATACAACACAAATTTACACAAACACAGGCCAATATTCATACACAGGTACATGTAAACACACAAAAACATGCATGCACAAGCACACTTGTGGAAACACTCGCCCACACTCTCTTACACATACACAAAAGTGAATAAACAGCCATGTGAGTTTGCGCCGGCAGATGGAGGCTGTCAGCATGCCCTGAGTGAGCTGTTCCAAATGAGAGGCACATGAGGTTGTCTTTCCTCTCTATGATTACTCTCACATGCTCACAGTACTTGGCAATCGTGAGGAAAGGCTAGGCTGAGCATATCAGCATTTGGGACTGAGAAATGTATTAGGTGTTGGTCACAAATTGTTTCAACTTTATTTATATAGTGAAAGTGAATCAATTCTCTATCAATTCTCCCATTATTGGCGTGGGAAGCATAAACAATAGGCTAAACATTAGTTACCAGCATTTGCATTGCAACTTAGGTTAACAGAAAGTAAAACCTGAAAATTGAAAATGAGATCATTTCAGTTATAGAATGCAGCTGTAACTCCTGTTTAAAACCAAATAGTGGGTGAATGTAACCGTATATAGTGCTCTAAAACGTATTGTACTGCTGTGCTAGAGAGAGGAAGGGGGAATTTAAATAGGCAGAGATTGAGGGAGAGAGTGAGAGAGAGAGGAGAATGAAAGTGGGAAGTAGTATGGGAACAGAGATCAGGGAAACTGATACAGGGTAATGAAAAGCCCAGTGTATAGACTACAGGCAGCACAAACATACACAGCCCTCATACTCCACACTAAAAAATGGTAACCTAAAAATAGTAACATCTACATTAACTGGTTTTATTCAAGTCAAAACCTATTACTTAACCTCACTGAATTAACCTAAATATATTAATTTATACCGATATTCAAATCAGAAATAGCTCTTTAAGGTACCAATTTCAGGTTACTACTTTTTACAGAGCAGAAGAGAGATGCTAAAAACACTAAGAAAAAAAATGTAAATTGTAAATGTAATTCTAAATGTAATTCCTGTGTTCAGATTACAGTTACTGACCTTTAATTACATAATACTTGGTACACATATTTGTTAAATTTGTGCAAGTATTTTGAATGTGTATTCATTTATTCACCTCTAATTACACTCTTAAGAACTAATTACTTATTATTACTCTATTTGTATCTATTAGTACCTCCCAATGTATAGGAAAACTTAGTAGTGTTTTAGAAAATTACTTGAAAACAATCTGTAGTAAATTATTTTGAGTACCTTCCCCCACACTGCTATATTGAACACTAACACCAAATAAATGTGCCAAGAAAATAAATACTGTACATTAACCTGAGAAAAATGTCTTTATCTGCATGTCTGTGCATCAATTCTTTCATCTCTTAGTATAGAGAAGTTATCTAAGCTGTGCAAGTTTGAATCTATCCTGACATGGTTCAACCATGGTCATCATCTGTTTCTGAACATCCACAAGTGTACCTTAATGTCAACAATGTCAATATTGGTCAAATGGCTAAAAGCAGACCACAGGTTTTTTTTCCATTATAGTACAGTAGACAAAACATGTGAACAGTTATTTCCTGTGAGCCAACCTCTTAAATAAGAAGTTACAGGTCTGTGAGAGCCAGAAATCTTGCTTGTTTGTAGGTGACCAAATACTTATTTTACCGAGGAATTTACCAATTAATTCTTTAAAAATCCTACAATGTGATTTTCTGGATTTTTTTTCTAATTTTGTCTCTCATAGTTGAGGTATACCTATGATGAAAATTACAGGCCTCTCTCATCTTTTTAAGTGGGAGAACTTGCACAATTGGTGGCTGACTAAATACTTTTTTGCCCCACTGTATTTCCTGACTGCAAAATCAGATGTTAAAAATACAATGACTCTTATGGTGATGAGAGATCATTGTCATTTTCTTTTTTATCTTTTCCACATTTACTACATGTCCCTCCCCTTTCATGTCACAAAAATGATGTAATCCTTTTGATGTCGAAAGTGCAGGAGTTATATAAAAAGAGAAGTGTGTACATGCCGCCTCTTCTGCCCTCCTTCTGTGCATGTGAGAGAAAAATAAGAAAGTGCAAGAGAAAGGAAGACTCTACTCTATCAGTTCTCCCATCATTGGCGTGGGAAGCATAAACAAGTACCACAGTACACTATTAATCAAGAGCAATTGTATGGCACATCAGAAAGTACAATGAATGTCAAATGGTACTGGTAAGGGATTAATACTGTACAATATATTTGATGGACACTGAACTATGTCCAAAATAAGGAATGATGAAAAAAAATGCTATATTAACAAAAACACAAGCATATGTGCCTGCAGCAAATTAAGCTTAAAAACACTTGTTTATCTGGTCTCTGAACAATTTTTGTAACCATCCAGTCTATTTTGCATATTCTGAATTATCCAGCAATTATGAAATATGTAACAGTATATTCACCACAAAGCCAACAACATGCATTAGAAAATGAATCAATTCAAGTCCATTTTGACTTCTAAAATCAATCAACCCATCCAGGTTTTCTGTACCTTATTACTGAGCAAAGCATCAAAGCATCTGTTTCAAAGTAACTGGTGCCTTAAAGGGGAACTTCACAGCTAAGAAGATGAGCTTAAAATGGGCTGTCTATGCAGAAACATGGAAAACACCTATAATGCACTTTGATTTTGCACCACCACCCTAATCTGACTGTCAGTGGGTGAGAATAAATAAGCAAAACACACTGCCTATTTACATACACTACCAAGAAAGTTAGTTGAAATTGGCAAACGTATCCTTTAAGTGAACAAATATATGCCTCTAAAGCGGAATCTGGCAAAGAATGACCATTAGCATCTACAGTAAGCTGACCTGATATAGACCAGCAGTTCTTGCAAATACATCAAATTTTCATACATTTTACTTGTGACACATTTGGTACAATTAGGTCTCTCTCTCCATAATGTATTAATCTAATCATGCTGGAGGCAAACTGTTCCAAATTTAACATGGAAGAGAGGATAAGAACACAGTGGAAAGAATACAGGCATATAGAATCATCTGCTTGAATGTCATGATAGTCTTGATTTTATGAGCAGTGAATATTAACAAAGATAGGTTACATCTCCAGTGGTTCAAGTCATAGTTATATGATGAAGCAAATGCACCAGTGGGTGGAGTGAAGGAGCATTCTCCTTGTTGCTTTGATGCTTGTGGAAAACTTGGACTTTATTGCACAACAGCACAGTTATCAAATCCATAACACTGTCAACATAACAATATTACACAAATAGTCAAGAAGCAAGAATAAAAAGTCTGTGGTGGGGAGGGTCAAGAGGGGAGTCCAGAATAATCACTGAACTCAGAAATCACAAATAACCTGCATTTACAGACACTCCCGCGATTTTTTGGAGAGTACCCTGGTATATGGCTCTTTGAGGGCAGGTGTTCTTCAGGTGCTATAGGTTCCACTACAGTGTTCGTTTACATATTCAAAGCATGCATTCGGCTTCCATATCTGATACTTTTATTTTGCGAACGCGGTAAAAAAAATAATTCAATGACTTTGTCAAAATTTTTTAAATATGTTGAACAGCAAAAGGAATCCATCAAATGTATAAATCAAATGTATCACAACCAGATTAATTCTTCCATTAGTTTTAGCAGCGAACACTACAGCAATGTAAACAACACCTTGAAAACAATGCGACACCTCCATCTCGTCACCATCAACAATACTACCGACAGCAAGACAAAATAACATTTAGAATATCATTAATATAGTGATACGATATAGTATAGCATTTATTATATCAGATTATATCATTATATCAGACACAAGTGTGTTTTTATTGCGGAAAGTAAATCACAGGAGCAGCGCTTATTCAAATCAGCATCGCTCGCCGTGATGGAAACGATTCTCCAAAGACGCAGAGAAGAGATTTGACATCACCAGGGCTCCAAAGGTAGCATAAAAAAAACCCGCATTCCCTAATCGAATAAACGACGTGAAAGAATTTCAATGTTAAGCGAATGACACGAGGAGGATCATAATCACCTCAATCAATACGGCGCGCAAAGCGAAGCCTCCGCAATATAGGTTAAGCCGCTCTCTAAACATCTAGCACGAGCAGAATAAATCCGAGTCGAAATACAAAACAAAACGATTACACACGGTTACAAACCTTTGTTTTCTTCCCTTTCATCCTGATTCTCCTCAGCCGTCGTTTCTGGTTTCATCCCATCCATTTGGAAACGAGTATGTTGGATACACTTCCTTTGCCTGGTCTCTCTCGCTCCCAATACAGGAGTATATTTTACAGTCCACCTCAAATATGTAGATGATTTGTCAGAACGGATTTCGCGTAGATACTTGGTTCATAAACGATAAGAGCTCAGCCGAAGAGGGTCTCGCGTAAAGAAAGACTATAACCTACAAGCAGATACGCGGAGGAGAGAGAATCCGAGAGAGGTGAGGAAAAACAGCCACTCCACTGCCAGTCAGGTTGACATAAACAGATAGTCCCAGCTGTAAACAGTCACACATGCTCTCTCTCCGTCCTCCTCCCTCTCTCTGTCCCCCTCCCTCCCCGAATTGATGGGAGGACAGAAAGAATAAACTGTACTTATTAGGATAGGGGTCACATAGATATGAAGTAAAAGTGAAGTGTGCAAATTGAGACCAGATACAAAGGAACAAAGATGCTTCAACTATTATTTTATTCTAAACATCCACATTTAAAAGGTGTGTGCCGCTTGGGTTTTCAAATAATAAAACAATGGTCAAACAAAGAAATACCATCTGTCTGGAATCCTGTTAAAAATGATTAATTCTTATGCACATGACCTTCTGCTTCATTCAGCTAAACAAAAGACTGGCACGTGGTAAAGTACAACTGTCCAGTTAAGAGAACACACTAAATACCATCTCTATCATTACCATTTAAAGGGTTAGTTCACCCAAAAATGAAAATGATTTCATTTAGCCCATAAATTACTCACCCTCAAGCCATCCTAGGTGTATATGACTTTCTTCTTTCAGATGAATCCAGTCGGAGTTATATAAAAATTTGTCTTTGATCTTTCAAGCTGTTTAATGCCACTCAGCGGGTGTTGAGTGCATCAGTTCAAAAGAAGTTAAATAAAAAGCGCCCATCTTAAACAAAGGGGGTAAACAAAGGCCTCCTGTAGCGAATCAATGCATTTTTGTAAGAAAAATATAAATATTCAAAACGTAGTAATCACTTTAATGTAGCTTGCGCCAGCAGTTGTACACGGAAGCTAGGGGCTGATGAGTTCAGCGTTGCGCATGCGCCGGTGAGTCTCGTGAAAACCAACGTTTGTTAACAGGAGCAAAGGAAGCAAAGTTTCCTTACTTTAGCAAAGGAAAACTAGTCTCCTCTTGGCTTATATCAAAATCCTCCGACATTCTTCTTTACAAATCCTCCTTTTGTACTTCTAATAAGTGACCGTTGTTTTGTTTTTGAGTTTCTGATGTTTCTGAGCAATTCCGCCCTCATACGTCATAAGCCCCGAACTGCTTCCGTGTACAACTTTTGGCGCAAGCTACATTAAAGTGATTATTACGTTTTGAATATGAATATTTTTCTTACAAAAATGCATTGATTCGCCACAGGAGGCCTTTGTTCACCCCCTGGAGCTGTATGAGACACTTTTTTATGGATGGGCGCTTTCTATTTCACTTCTTTTGGACTGATGCATGCAATACCCGCTGAGTGGCATTAAACAGCTTGAAAGATCAAAGACCATTTTTTATATAACTCAGACTGGATTCGTCTGAAAGAAGAAAGTCATATACACCTAGGATGACTTGAGGGTGAGTAATGTATGGGCTAATTTTCATTAGGTGCCTTAAAACCCAGAGGATATAATATTCAGTGATATAATAAACTTCTGTGATATACTAGTCTAAATTGTATGATACATGGAAATGACCCATAAAATGTCTCTATAGTGATTCGTCACCTAGTAATTATAAGGTTCTGCTATTTTTGTCAAAATTGAGTGATTCACATATACCTTCTGTGAAAACTTAGTTACATTATGTGATGTTTTTTTATTAAGTTGTGCACATTTTGGGACTGATGTATGAAAGAGACTTGTTCCACATAACCCATATCACTATATGTAATGCAAAAACTCTTGAAGCTCAATATCTCGAAACTGCTCAGAATGCAGATAGAACCTTATAATTCCAAGGTGACAAATTGTGTTTGTTAAACATTTAATCTTCAGCTCATCATAATTATTTTTTTAATATACACTATTGTGGTACCACTATTGTGGTTTATCACACAACAAAATGGCAACATCTAAATTAAGTGGTTCTGTTTAAGTTAAAAATATTATTTAATATTGTTTAATCAAATTGATTGATTTATACCAACAAAACTACTTGACATGGGTTATGGGTTATGATATGGGTTATATGATGTAAAACCATATAACCAAAAGTTAGGCTCATCAACCATAACTCCTTCAAAAACAGCTAGAAACATTGGAGTTGTGATTGATGATAAGCTGAATTCATCAGACCACATTGCTAAAACTGCTTGGTCCTGCAGATTTGCTTTATACAACATTAGGAAGATCAGGCCCTTTCTTTCAGAACATGCTTCACAACTCCTTGTTCAAGCTCTTGTTCTGTCCAGGCTGGATTATTGCAATGCTCTCTTGGAAGGTCTTCCAGCCACTTCTATCAAACCTCTACAATTAATCCAAAATTCATTTTTAACGAGCCGAAAAGAAAGCATGTCACACCTCTGTTCATCAATTTGCACTGGCTACCAATAGCTGCTTGCATAAAATTCAAGGCATTAATGTTTGCCTACAAAACCACCACTGGCTCTGCACCCATTTACCTAAATTCATTACTTCAGAGTTATGTGCCCTCTAGAAGCTTGCATTCTGCAAGTGAACAGCGTATTATTGTGCCATCTCAAAGAGGCACAAAATCACTTTCACAGACTTTTTCATGAACTGTTCCCTCCTGGTGGAATGACCTGCCCAACTCAATCCGAGCAGCTGAGTCCTTAACCATCTTCAAGAAATGACTAAAAACACGTCTGTTCCACCTTTATTTGACCCTCTAATTCTAACACTTTCTATTCTATTTTAATTCTACTTTATCTATATTTATCTTCTTTTTTTTATAAAAAAAACACTAGCTTTCTATTTTTTTCTATTCTATCTACTTGTTTTTCTTTGTGTGTGTGTGTGTGTGTGTATGTGTGTGTATAATATATATCTACCTTGCTACGTATACTGGGTTTGGCTAACCGAGATTTGTCATTTGCACTTATATATTGTTGCCCTTTTGTTAGTTTTGACTGCTTTTATTGTCCTCATTTATAAATTGCTTTGGATTAAAGTGTCTGCTAGATGACTAAATGTAAATGTAAATGTAAATGTAGAAATATATCTATAAAGTAACATTTGCAGGTTACCGCTTTATGCTGTGCATAAAAATACAAAAGTGGACTGAGAAAGTTGTAGTAGAGAGATTATTGTCCACCTCATTAAATCACCTTCCTTCCTCAGGCATCAAAAACACAGCAAGTAAAGGAATGTGAGTGGTGGTGGATGTGCTGTAAACAACTTCAAACTTCTGGTTGTAATTTAGAGTTCTTACCTCCTTTAAAATGTCACATTTTACAAGCAGTTTAGGATGAAATATACAGTTTGTGTCAACAAGTTTAAGCCTATGAGTCTATCTTCTAATTCCTGGAAGGTTGCTGAACAGACACAACCTTGTCTTGGTGGATGAGGAGAGATTAGATCTTTAATTATGCCTCTCACTGAAATTATTTATAGTAATGGACTGAGGCATAATAAGAACAAATCAGGAGGATAACTTTTGTGTATTTAAATTTATCTGAAAGATATGTGCCCTAACATGAATCAATGACAGTTTTCAGATAGACACCAAATGAAAAATCTCACAAGTGTCTCTTTTCTTTGTTTTTGCTGCTATTTGTCATCAAAAGTCACATTTAAGACTATTGGGGGGTAGAGTCATAGGATGCCATGGGACACACTGGAACTTGTCATGAGCCGAAAAGTGAAATTGTTCTCTATACACCCTCGGAGCACAACAGCCCCCCTCTCCCTCAAAATCACTTCATAATCCCTCATGGCTGTAGTTTAATTACTCTGTTCGCTGTTTATTAACAGGGACAATAGCTACATTTGATGTCTCCAGAGAAGCTCAGAGTAAGAGCCATTTAGCTAACAATAGAGAAAATAAAGGATGCACATTTATGTTGCAGAACTTCATAATGCCAACAAACTGTAAACCAATAAAAAGCCTTCTATGAAAATGGTTTAGGACTAATCTGAGTTTAAGACCACATTAATAATTCATAACAGCAGAACCAGCTGTGAGTAAAATAAAAGATAAAATTGTGATTCTTCATAAGAAAAAAAAATGAAGTGAAATTGTTCTCTATACACCCTCGGAGCACAACAGCCCCCCTCTCCCTCAAAATCACTTCATAATCCCTCATGGCTGTAGTTTAATTACTCTGTTCGCTGTTTATTAACAGGGACAATAGCTACATTTGATGTCTCCAGAGAAGCTCAGAATAAGAGCCATTTAGCTAACAATAGAGAAAATAAAGGATGCACATTGGCTGCAATTTATGTTGCAGAACTTCATAATGCCAACAAACTGTAAACCAATAAAAAGCCTTCTATGAAAATGGTTTAGGACTAATCTGAGTTTAAGACCACATTAATAATTCATAACAGCAGAACCAGCTGTGAGTAAAATAAAAGATAAAATTGTGATTCTTCATAAGAAAAAAAAATTAAGTGGGTAACTAAGGATTTTCATGTAATTTTTTAATGACCACAGAAGAAAACATAAAAAAAGACAAAAGAATAGTATAGACAAAAAAGAAACTATAAGATAATAGCAGAAAGCACCAACAATAAAACTAAATGACATGGTACACATTAAATTCTTAATCTGATTTTTTATATTAGTGTTTAATATGGTCTGAGTAAAGAGTTTTTATTCCTGTTGAACAAAGCAATATTTCCTTTTAGAAATGTACATTTTACTACTTATAATAATTATAAATTATTATTATTTTACCCATAATAAAAAAAAATTACATACAGGGAAAATGTCTTTCAAGTTTTTTCAAATAAGCAGCCCACCAAACTTCACAGAAGGATTTTCATGTAATTTTTTAATGACCACAGAAGAAAACATAAAAAAAGACAAAAGAATAGTATAGACAAAAAAGAAACTATAAGATAATAGCAGAAAGCACCAACAATAAAACTAAATGACATGGTACACATTAAATTCTTAATCTGATTTTTTATATTAGTGTTTAGTATGGTCTGAGTAAAGAGTTTTTATTCCTGTTGAACAAAGCAATATTTCCTTTTAGAAATGTACATTTTACTACTTATAATAATTATAAATTATTATTATTTTACCCATAATAAAAAAAAATTACATACAGGGAAAATGTCTTTCAAGTTTTTTCAAATAAGCAGCCCACCAAACTTCACA